TTACATTTAGTCTCTGAAAGAATTTTGTCACAAATATTTTATAAGTTTTTAAATTTAAAAATTCGTTATTAATGCTTTTAAAGTATTATTAGTTTAAAATCTAGTAACTGTAGAAAAGATTCACTAAACTATAAATATCTTTAATGAATATAAATAATATTACGAGTTGATTACGTGTCAGTACCACACGATAAGCCTGCTAGTGAATGAATTCTATACGATTCTGTGAATAAGATCTCTATTTTGAAAATTATATTGATCAATACTTTCACAATACTCTGAATAGTAATGCTCGTCACTTAACTTCAGAAATCTTTTTCTAAATTGATATTTTAATTCTGATTATGTACACATGCAAATATTTCAATCTTCAACTTATGGACGGCGCCTGTATATGATCACCGAATTTAATGTCAAATATCTCGGTCAATTTTGGTCGTGTAAATGTTTCCTCATTCCTGTTTCATAACAAGGAAAAAAATTCTAAAAAAAATTAAAAAGAAATTCAACAATTGATGAGCTGAAACTTAGTCATTAGTGACCAACGCTTAATCACCAGTGACGAACAGTTACCGGTATTCAACCCTCAAGATCATTGGTGTGAGGTACTCCCAGGGGCGGATAGGGTTTGAGGATAATTGAAACTTATCCAAGCGCTTGTACTTATGTCGTTGCTTTTTGACTTGATACTGATGGTTTTAAAAAAAGTTAAAACTTTAACCGTAACTGTAGAATTCACGCAACAAAACATGCAACATCGTAGAAAAAAATTTCATGACACTTTAAGTACATCAAATGCAAATTAATGGTAAGCGTATTAATTGTTGGAACTGCTCCAATGCATAGAAGTAAAGAATTTGGCTCCGAAATCTGTATGAAAATAGTCAAGAAATCGTTAAATTCTTCACAGAAATGTCCTAGTACCTTTTACGAAGGTTATTTTCTTCACGATGATTTATGTGTATTAGAGCTAGTGTTTTGGCGAGTGATGGTGAACTTGAAATAGTGCAGGAACCACTTCTCCAGCTTTAAAACACTTATATTAGCGACCTTGACATGGATGCCCCGTCACCCTTGATTAGGGCTGCTTTCTTTACGATATCGAAATTCTTTAGGGTGGTGAAACATTTGTTGGTGACTGTTCCCATATTTAGGACATTTTTATATGAACTACCTTCACATGGGTGTCCCGGGAACCTTGATCAGGACTGCTTTCTTCGCGGAACCGAACGTCATAAATGTGCCAGGAAATTTGTTGACTTTAGTTAGAGCGCCGCTGTCTTTTGGCGAGTGATGGTCAACTTGAAAAGTGCTGAAACTTTCACGCATGTTGTTTTCTGTTCACCAAGTTTAAGATTTCTACGCCGCCACATCGGGATAGTGATTAGCGACGCTGACTGCCGTACCGAAGGGCCCGGGTTCGAATTCCGAGGAAGACGTAGATTTTTGTAAATGTATATATGTTTGAGCGGTATGGGGGCAATCTAAATACGCAGCTAGTCGATAGTCCTCTCGAGACGCCCTACTGCACTTGCGCGTTTGCCGTGAACCATTTCAAAAAATGAAAATGTCCTCAAATGGTGCGATTTATCCATAGTAATGGATGAGCCTGACGTCATAACTAGAGATGAACGATCCTCTTTGGAATCGATGATAGGGGAAGAGAGATGGGAGACCCTCGGATCAGTCCCCCGGGGTGCTTTCCATCAAAATTGGGGGCAGAACTGAGAAAAGTCGTACTGTCACCTGTATAGTGCTCAAGGCACTTGCCAACGACAGGTGCAGTCTTGCAATTTTTGCCATGATAAATTTTCCGGGCTTGCTCTGATGTTACTGTCATACAAATGAGATAAGCCACAAAAACAACAAGTTCCGGCATTCTTGACAAGGGTTACTCTCCTCACGACACAGTACTTAATGACAACGACTGCGAGGGATCCAGGTAATGCAGGAAAAAGAAGCGGTGCTTCTTTTGGAGCCTGCACCTGGGCCAAAGATGGGTAACTTGAAAAATTTCCTGGTTTTATTTTCAAGTTGCCCGCTTCAATTGGACTAATTCTGCTGGTATAATTTACTTTTGTGCTTATTTGAAAACTTTACACTGGCGTGTTATTTTCCAATGAGAGATGTTTTCCTAATATTAAGATTAGGTGCACAGCAGCGGTCGAATTCTTTCCTGAAACATTATGAAACCTTCATAAATGAACTTTTGCATTAAATACATTATGAACAGCTCATAAACAAACTTTTCTAATTAGAATTTCTAATTATTTCCTTTCAAAATTTTTCTAATTAAAAATTCTGCGACAATATCTTTTATTTATATGTTTCTTACTGTATTGAAACATCAAGGTTTATTAAAAAAAAAAAAAAAAAAAAAAAAAAAAAAACAGAGAAAGCCTGAAAAGAGACAAAAGATATTGATGCCTTGATCATCACTGGATAAGTTTAGAATTTATATTACTGAATAAGAAATACTGAATAAGACTAGAATTTATAGTGTATGGCTTTATAACGATAAAAATTAACTATTTTGTTAATAATTTTTTTATCAATGGTATCTTGACAATACCGATCAATTGCTGGCGCATGCTCAATTATCAAACCCCGTCCGACTTCTTGATTCTTACTGACTCCCTTCAAGACTTCATCGGCCCCAGATGGTCTACACCGAGCCCTCTGAGAACGTCTGGTCTTTGTGATTAAAATATTGACTAAGTTTATGGGCGCAACTGCTGTTGAATGCATAAAGATACAGTGAACAGTTTGCGGCTTGGCTTTGTCGCTGCGTGCTTGCACGCCAAGCCATTTCACAAGGGTAAGGTGATAGAATTTCAGGAAGGGCAGTATCAGCCACGACAGTAAGCAAAAGGTTGCACTGAAAAGGTATTTATGCTAGGCGACGAGCACTGTGCGTCTACACCGCTAGAGCAAGCGTTTGAATTGGGCATGTAGTCACGTAAATTAGACTGAAAATCGGAGGTCTTTCTGTTCGCTAATGAGTCCCGCTTTACAGAGTGATTCTTGATGTGTTTAGATATGGAGAGAAGCAAACTCTTGAGGTCTTCCGTCTAATATACGGGAAAGTAATAGCCATGCAGAAAATATAAATTTGAACTTTTCCTTCGTGTGATTATTATTATTGTTTGCGGATATTTTAATAAATATTCACCAATTGAAATTCAAAAATTAGTTCAATTTTGGTTCGCCTCGAATAAGACGCCTTAAAAATGTTTTAAATTTCGTTAAAATATATGTTCTTGTCCATCAGCTGCTTTCATATCGAACATTCGGCTCCATGCAACTTGAACGTGAGACCCCCTGGTCTATGTGTTTTATTATTTTCTACCCAATTTGTTGAAACTGCTTTCTGATAATATTTTGAATGATTTTCAAGTTATACGATTTCACACTCAGAAAAAAAAAAAAAAAAAAAAAAAAGGTTTTCTGAAATGAATACGTGATTTCAGAATTGAAATAAAGACTGAGTACATTGGAATCGGACAGTTAAATGATTGGTAATTTAGACTTTAAGACTATTTATTATACACTGTTGGACTTTAAATTGCAATACCAGGAAGGGATGATCTGAAGAACGTCAAAATCACATGAAAGGAAGAAGAGGTTGGTATATGCAAATTAGTATTTCAGCACATTTAGGCAATGCAGTAGGGAAAAGCGACATCTGAAGCACTGCATAAAAGTAAAGTTGTGTAGTGGGTTTCTCTTTCGGAAAGCGCTTTGTAAGGTCAGAGTTAGCTCAGAATATCGCGTTATGCCTCGAATAAGAAGAAGCAATGCTTTTCAGCAAATGTCGGAATTCGATAGAAGCAGGATTGTTGCCAATCGAGAGTGTGGATTATCGTTCCATGATTTCACCGTCGCATTGGTCGACATCTAACCCCTGTCATGCAAATATGGAATCAATGGGCTGCTGACGCTCATACTGAACGGCATACAGGATTTGAACGCCCTCTCCTAACACCCAAGAGGACAGACATATTGTGAGGTCAGCCCTGAAAAACTGTACGACCACATAAGGGACCATTAGTCAAGAAATGGGCGTGTTTGCAGCACGGTCAGTATCCGCTCGTAGGTTGCGGCGACGTTGGCAGCAGCATGAACTATCAGCACGGCGATCTTTACTTCGGTTTCCCTTGATAATTCAGCACAGAGAGAGACGGCGATTTTGGTGCGCCGAACGACAAAGATGGATACAGGAGTGGCACAATGTCGTCTTTTCAGACAAGTCCCGGTTCTTCGTGCACTATTGTGATGTTCGTGTACGTGCCTTTCTTCGAGCACTATTGTGATGTTCGTGTACGTGCCTGGGGGCTCAGAGGAGACTGCACGTCACCTGCTTGCATCCGATATCGGCATAGGGACCCTGCACCTGGGTGTGATAGTTTGAGCAGCCAATGGGTACATGGCACGCATATCTATAGTTCGGACTAACGGTAATTTGAACGTAGATCTGTACATTTCTGAAATCTTACATTCAGTGGTTGTGCCCTAATTTCAAGGGCTATGAACGCAATTTTCCAACAAAAATAATGCAAGACCACATATTGCATGTCGTGATCTGATCTTCCGCGTTTCCTATCGTTTTAATATAAACGTTTGGTCGTTTTAACTTTGTTTATTAAACATCGCTTTCTTATACTACATCAAATTCAACAGCAAAATTCACAAAATGTTTATAAACTGCCTACCTATAGAATTCCAGGTAAGTCATGCAATTTTTATAGGGGATAACAATCTTTTATTTGTGTTGTCATATATTTCTCATGTCATGTAATTTTTCTATTCGCTCTATTATTTCTTTCAAAATAATACAAGGCGATGACATTTGATGGATGCATTTAAAACGTGACACGGACTTAAAGTGAAGATCAACACCTATGCCACCTTTTGGTACTAACTAAACTATCTGTATATCGCAGTTTTAATTTTGAAGTGCTGGTACTTCTAAATTTGAACACGAATAATTACAAAAGAAGAAGAGTCATCATAAATCAAAATGTTTTAATACAACTTTAGTTACACAGAATGAAATGAATTACTTTAAAAACAAATCCGCACATCCGATAACACCCCAGACATGTAAAAATTAAAACAAAATGGATTACACATTCCAAAAGTTCCTGCTCTCTAATCTTTATTTTACAGTGACGAGAAGTGATACATTTCTGCATTCACCTAAAAAAATGAAGCTGTCCACCACCTTTCCGCTTTTCGGATTTTGTTCTGTTACCGCATCTTGAAATATTAGCTTGTTATCGCGCTCGTGTATTATCATACAGAATAGTTTCACTATTCAAGAGGTGTCTGGAATTGAAAATGTAGTGAAAGCGAATAATGAGTTAAGTGAAACGCATGATGATAAAAAAAAATAGCAACACCGTTCAGATAAGATGATGAAAATTAATGGTGAAATCATTTAAATATGTTCAGAAAGTTGCTGCCTTTTTTACCCATAAATACAGCACTTTTTAACCATAATTTTAAACATTTTAGATCAAATGTATTATAAAATATCCAAAAGAATTAAACCAATAATCGATTGATCTACGACTTTGGTTGCCATTAAAAAAAACGATGAAATTTATCGATATTGATATCTATGAATGATTTCTCTAATTTAAAGATCAATAATTCTCTGAGATATCAGTATTAAATTTGGAAGAAAAACAACCTAATATAAAACTAATATGAACAAAAATAAAAGCTTAAATTAATCAAGATTATGAATAAAATTCTATTGCTTTCGAGGAGAATAGGATTAGGTCGTTCTACTTCAAGAGCATTTTATTTTTGTTTCTGTTGGGGGAACAGCAAACCTGGTAGAAGCGAAAATCATTTCATATGGAAATTTATGAGCCGCGTAAAGAAAAATCGAGTGTAGCGCCAATTGTATAAGAAAATTTAATACCAGTGCAGACTTTTCCAACCCTTTCAAAATTTAAATATCTTGCACTTTTAATGTTCATTACGGTTTTTTCGCTAGATGGGACTATGTTCATTTTTGCTATGTACTGGCCATAGATTTCTATATAAATCGACTGTCGCTACTTCTAAAGAGGTTATCACACATGGCTACAGTCCCTGCTAGACGGGACTTTTTTGAGGAACGAGATTCTAGTAGCACTGGTTTCAACGGGAAAGAAGTTACCTAGAAAAAAGAGCCTCGCTTGAAGCGAAATCCCGCCTAGCTACGGAAATAATGTTGCGGCTACGCGGGATTTTTTCAAACTTCACCGAAAATGTCTCGGCCGAAATGACCTCATTTCCGAGTAGAGACAACAAACCAGATGAAAGTTCTGCTTCTGAAATCCTCACGTGATCCCAATCTGAGCGATAATCGATTGGTGTTTGGCGTTCAAGTCTTTGTAGTAAGTGAAAATGGTAACCTAGCTACGTGGGTTTCCTGAAATTGTCCCTTTCGACGTCAAGTCCCGCGTAGCCGAAACATACTATGACTGGAACTTAATCTTGCAGCTGCCTCTTCCCACCTTTCTGAAGAAGAGATACCTATGGCTCATCCCACAAATTATTACTTGGAGATTATGTATGACAATAGCATGTATAATCCAACAGAAGTGTTGAATCTATGAAGAGTTTAGATCTAGGACTATTGATGTGGACCACTTGATGTTCTAACAAAAAATTTCATTCATAATCACAGTTTGTTTAATGTTTATCTACATAATTTTCTTGATGCTTAAGTTCATTTATCTGATTTTCTACTGTAACCCTCTTTACTCAAAATTCATTTACACATGAGTAAGCATTTAGAAATGGCTAATGAAAGGAAAATTTTTCTACCGAAATAAGGTTAAAAACAAGTAATATTTCAAAGCAATAGCACTGCAAGAATTACAAAATTAATGTTCACTTTTGCATTATTAGCTTTTCGAAAATGTATTATTAACTGCATTAACTAAAATAGCATTAATAAATTTTAATTGGAATAGAACAAAGATTTAGTTTACTTCACAAACGCGTAAAATTGAAACTATATAAATAATATATAACTTAAAATATATATAATAATTTATTATTTTAATACTAAAAATACACTTAAGGTTTATTACAGATGTTCTCATTTTGATTGAATAACGTTTTTTATACAAACGTATACTATAACTACATTTTTGTCTTAGATTGCAATAAACTGCATAATGTGTAGTCTATATTATTGCTTTTAATATATTAGAAACAAGACTGATTTCCAAAAGAAGAGAAAAACGTATTTGCATATTCTTATGCTTTATAAATTAAGAAACATATATAAAATAATATTAAATAGTAAAAATTGAATAACGGTAGTTTGTTTTTACTTATAAGCTAAAATTAAATACTTAACAGCTAAATAAAGGCAACCACACTGAAACTGTGAAATTATCTTCCGCGAGGAATTTTATCTTGATGAAAACACTTTTCTTAGCACATTGTTTTATCAATGTTTTATACTCAAATATCTAAATAACAAGCAGAGGTTTGGAAGCAAGTAGTAAGAGGATTTTAACTTTGTGAAAACTAGTCTCCATATCCTTTTGATGTAAATAATATCTAACTGAGGTTATACTAAATTGTTTTCAGATTGGTAAAACAAATCAAAGACAATAATAAAAAAAAGCCTCAACAGGCTGCTCCGCTTAATATAATTGCGGTTAATGCTGTCGTTCGGATATTGTTATATAGTTATGAAGTCCAGTCCTCTTGCATGCCAAAAGATGAAAAATACAATGCTGCTTCAGATTTTTGATTATTAGTTCGGTTATTATAATCAATGCATTATACAAAAAATGTTTATCAGTTAACTTTATCGATGAAGAAGGCTTAGGTAGAAGGCCGAAACATTTTATAGGCTACTGGATGAATATGTATTTAGACTAACAATGGAACGTTATATATATCTTCTGCATATTTAAAAAGGGAGAGTGTAAGTAATATCATTCTCTAAAATTTGATGTTTTGAATTAGGTATATAAGGAATTTAATTCATTTTTTTGTTTAAATCAATCATATTAAAAATTAGAAAATATAATATTCTTAAGAAATGCATCTAACTATTTTAAATATTTTAGAGTGTTAATTAATATCAGACAGATTAAATATGAAGGAATAATATCTTACGTTTTTCCGGATGAACTAAAACAACGCAAAAGTCGTGTTTCGAGACTATTTGCTTTAAACTGACGTAAAGTCGTAAAATAAGGTCAAAATAAGATAAAAAAATTGCCAAATGTCAGAGAATTGTCGTCAAGTAAGGGATTAAATCTCCAAAATGCTCGGTTTGGATTTTAATCGACCATTTAAAATTCGTACGGAAAAAAACATTCTCTGGAAATATCTACGCTAAATTAAGATTCCCCCTAATTTTAAATTTTACTCTTGCATTTTTAATTTTATGTTTTTAAAGATGGATGCTGTTCGATTATTTCGATAGCATTGATCTAATAAGTTTTAGAATATGAATAGTTCATGAATGAGACGTTTACATTTTCCTCATTAAAATTATGTTAAAGTACCCATTTATATATTTCTAAATATAGTTATGATTAATTAGCTATATTGCAATTCTGTTTCGAAAGACATTTTTTCTCCTCGTTTAATGTTATCAAAATAGCCACTATAAACGTGATCACATTAGGCGGCGCCTATTGTGTGTTTTGAAACTTCATTTTTTAAGATTTTTCCTTTTAGATAGATTCTTTCATTTGTACGTCATCACGTATCTAATTTTGGAAATTTAAACCTAAAATCTAACTGGCTATGAAGCTCTTGCATTAAATTACACCATTTCTTCTAAACAATTACCTTTTCTAACTTTATTTATTATACTTAACACGATTCCTTATTCTTGAAATACGTTACCAGACATAACCAGGGAGTTAATACTGTTTAAAAAATCAAAAGTTTAGATAAATGAAAGTCGAAAGTGGTTTCAACAAATCGGTATCTTTGCTTAAAATAATCCGTAATACCTACTTCTTTTAAAAAGAAATTAAAAGCATTTTGTTACTAACTTCCAATGAATTTAATTAACTTTAAATGAAAACCAAAAATCCTTTACAGGTTAAAAAATAATGCTAAAATAATATAATGAAAATAAGAAAATGTTGTAAAGAATAAAGAAAAATCATTCGTAATTCTGATATAAATAAAATAATTAATCACTAAACTTTGTAGCAAATTTCCGATCATAAATTATGCATGATTAATATTTTTTTTCCAAACTACTGTAGATGATACAAAAGATACTGTAGATGTCAAAACTCAAAATGCCCTAAATGGGATGTATGGGATGTTGAAATACAATTTGTATTTTTGAGACGTATGTTTCAAGTTTATCGATTCAGAAATTGCTATCTTTTCGTTAAGAAAATTAATTAATAAAATTTAACGGGAATGTAAAAACCGCAGACTGAAGAAGTTTTAATGTTTTGTTTAAAATTAATATTATAATTTAATAGTAGTAATGTGCTCATAAAATGCTTTAGCTGTTGTGAAAAGTATAAATATGTGTTTGTGAATACGTATGCAATTTTTAATATACTGCTATGGTAATTATACAGTACTGTTAATGCGATTTATATTTTAAAGTAATTTTAATGTTTCGCAATTTATGTGGCAAAAAAAAAAAAAAAACTCAAAGTATTCAAGGTCTACCGATATTAATATATAATCCATATCGAAATCGAAATGGAAGTTCTACATACTTCATGATGAGAAATATTAAGTTTCTAAAACGTTAACGACACCTTCGAAACAAATTTACGAGTTGCAGTTTACAATTAAGAATAATTATAGTGTTTGTAATTTAGTAGGCGCGTGGAAAATCAACTTATTCCGGCCTACCAGTATTATTGTATAATTCGTTTCGAAGTAGAAATGGAAGCTCTAGTTTCATCATTTACCAATAATATTAGTTTAATTTACTTTATAATTTAGGACAATAAAATTATTTTATAATTTATGATCAAAGAAGGAAATCAACATATTCTGGCCAATCGATATTATTGGAAAATTCGTTTGGAAATACAAATGGAAGCTCTAGTTATTTTACGATTTACTTATAATATTACTTTAATTCGCAATTATAATTACGTTTACAGTTTAAACTAAAAGGAGTGTTTTATAATTTATGAACCAAATATGAAATCTATATATTGTACCCTACCAATATTATTGGATAGTTAGAAATGGAAGCTCTCATTTAACAATTTATTATTAATAGCAGTATCTAAAATACTGGGCAATCATTCCAATTTATTTTCCAATTTAGAATAACTGCAGTGTTTACTGACTTATGAGCCAATTAGGAAACCAAAATATTCTGGCATACTGCCAGAAACTGCCTTCCAATTACTGCCTTAACTTCCAGAAAGTGCCTTAACAAGTTTTGAAGTAGAAATGGAATCTCTTGTTACTTCAGGATTTACTGTTAATATCAGTTTCTAAAATACTGAGCACACTCTCGAATTTAATTTACGATTTATAACAGTTTGATTGTTTTACAATTACTGATTCAAGAAAAAATCAGCATATTGTTGCCTGTCAGTGTTATTGGCTAACCCATTTCGAAATGGAAATAAAAGTTCTAATTATTTCCTTATTCAGTTATGAAGTTTCTTAAAATATTGAAGAGACTCTTTTACGAATAGCTAAATGTTATAAAATCTTTCAAATGTAGCCAATTCATTGATTCTTTCTCGACAAGTGTATTAAGTATAAAAAAACATATTACAAACATTAGTTGAACTTCGGTTGTGAAACATTTTAGATTATTGAGTTTTAGTGCAACCTTAAATAAGCCGTGATTTTTAGAGCCAAGTGCTCAATGATACGATATATTTAGAATCAATTTTATGTATACATAGACAGCGGTGTTTTAACAAATGTTCCAATTCGAAAGCATAAATGAGTATTACGCATTCACCATCTAAAGACTCAAAACTCTAGGTATCTATTTAGCGCACCGGAAATATTTCGCTTTTGAAATGTGTGAACGTATTCATAAGTAACTCTCTCACCCCTTACTTTATTATCGGTAGATTTGTAATTACTCGTGAAATGTGATTCAGACACCTCTTGAACGTAACTTAACGCTGCCTGTTTGGTGGTTTTATGTGGTTATGAGTCCATGTAACCCGTTAAGGTTAGAGTTTTAGAATTGGCGATAGTAGAGAGAAAGTGAAGTTCAGTTTCACTTCCAGACATTGCTCATCCAGCATATGTAACTTAGCGAGAAGATGATCGTGATGACTCTAGATAAGTTCCGTGAGAAAAGAGAAGTTCCGCTGTTGCCGTAGAGTGCCGCTACTTCATTTGTAGAAGTGTAACTGACATTTTCCTGTTGGGACTTCTGCTGTGACTCAAAATCACTTTTCAAGGAACCTATGAAGTAAAAAAAGAAAGATTAATTCAAGTATGAGTATTATGATTATTTAAGTATTAGTAAACTAATGAGTTTCGAAAATGAAATTTTGTCATAAATTCTCAGAAAAAAAGAATTTTGAGTAAATCAGCCAATTTATGCTTGTTGTTGATTTTAATTATTACGCTTATCCATTGTGGCAACATATTTCTATCAAATCGCTCAGTTTTTTTTATTAAATTTAAAAGTGTTACTCCTGAAAGCATTACTTGGAAAGCGTAAATTAAATCTGAAAGCATTACTGACTAAATTTGAAAGAGTTACTTATTAAATTTGAAAGCATTACAATTCAGAAGATCTTACTCGTTACCATGTAGCAGCATATAATAAACCATGGCCGAGCGTTGATTTGCGAAACGCGATTTCGCATACACGCGGTACCTTAACCGTTTCTATTTAATTCTTCGAATGCTAGAGTTTCACTTACACGTAGTTCAACGTTCATTGCGTACAATCAACGTTCATTGCGTAAAGTTGTTGGCGGCGAAAGCTTTTTAGATAAGTAAAAAGTCAAAATATTAATCGAGAAAAGACGAATTAAGGATTCGATGATCTCATAGCACCAGCCGACAGTGAAAGTAGAGGTAATGAAGAAGGTAAAGCCCCTATAATTTACAAGAAGTTAAATGAACTTTTGAGAAGAAAAAGGAAAGGTCTCATTTTGCAATGGAGGTTTGCAGGAAAGAGAAGGACATTTAGAATTACTTTCTTAATCTGAATTATATACAACACATTTTCTCCATAGAAAGTTTACTTTGCAGAATGCCATTTTTCTCTATGCGCAATATATTAATGATGTAACCACAGCGCTCGCCAATAGTTTAGTGTACGTTTTTAAATCAACAAGTGTTTAATCAAAATTTCCTTTAATTTCACAGAAGACATGAAAAAAATTGAAATGAAAAATTCCGGTTTCAAGGTGCGTATGTTCGGGTACTGGATTATGTGTTCAAATTTTGATGGCTCTAGATGTCGCAGCTTTTACACAATGCGAAAAACATACATATATAAATACATACATGTATATTCTTGATCATTTAGTAACAGCCACTATATACTGTATTTTTCGTTAAAGTAATCTAGAGAAACAAAATGTGAAATATGTAACGAAGAACAGATAATAATTCTTTATCCTGTTTATCGATACCTAAGTTTACGTTCTATGTTCTCCCAGTGCGTGAAATAGCGTTATTTAATACGAGAAAAGTACTATAGATGTGCAAGATTAAACTCAAGTTCATTTATTTTATCATCACAATGCGCTAAACCGAGTTAACCTGCGTACACTGAACTAAATTACTTCGCGCATTCGAGTAAATAAATTACACTTATCTTTCGCTTCCCCTCTTAAGATAGGAATGCAATATAATATATCCGCTGCAATTTTCAGCTTAAATAAGAAAGGACACTAAAAGATGTTGAATAAAAAAATTTAAAAAATGCCGGAAAAAAGACAATTTCCTGAATTTTCAATGATACATTAAGCGTTTAAAAACTTATTTAATCTTCCAGTTCCTTCATACAAATTATGGCACCACTTCATTTATTTGCATATAGAGAAACACACGAAACGTAGAGTTATATGATTAAAGGGAAGGCTGTCTTCGTGGAAGACTTTATAAGAATACTACTAAAAATACAACGCTTACTCACTCTCTTGACTTAATCTTTTCTTAGCACTCGAAATAAGATACTATTGTTTACACTAATCTAATTTTCGTTTTTGGCAAAACAGAAAACCCATTGTAGACATTAAAAGTAGTCTTAGGTGTTGGTTTGGAATTTATGTGCGAAGATCGACTGCTAGATTATTTTGTTCATATATAGAAAAGCACCAAAGGACTTTCTCTTTAATTCGTTTATGACTTTCTTGAGAAACTGGCTCGTATTAACGCTATATATAAGAAAACCACCTGGCTCAAAATCTGTTGCTCGGGTACACACCCAAGAATTTCTAAAACTTTTCCCGGCTTTAAATTCCGATATCCAGTGCCACTCCTTAATTCGAAGAATTTTGCCATCACTGATGTTCCCTCCTCGGTACTATTCTAAATTCTAAAATATTTACCGCCCCTGTATTCCACCATCTGGTGCGAAATCCCGACTATTTTGGATGTTGTGTTGTAGTTGTATAAAAGCTGTGGCTCATACGATTAATTTTCGATTTTTTACCCTTTCCGTTACGAATATTTTTCAGTATTTTTGTTGGAAATAATCACCGTAGACGTGCAATTACATTATTTATTTCCAGGTTGTTAATGGGGAAACTGTCAACATAATTCGAAATTTGACAGTTAAAAGAATTTCATTAAACTCAAAAATAATCCTTAACGAAAATTCTTCCCAAACACCACTAATCCATTCTTGTAGCAGCATGAAATGTTAAAGGGTATTCAAAGTAAAGAATGCAGTGCAATAAGTGCTGGAGCCTCCAGGCGATAAACATTATATTTGGGAAGTCATTTTTGTCCTCTTTACGGCACAGCAGTGCTGTGACATAATGGCTTTCGAGCGAAAGTGTTTAATATTTGCCATGCATAGGCAGATTATGCCCTTAGGGATTAATATAGCATCCGAAACTGTATTGTGCTTTTGTGAATAAAGTAGTTCAAACGTTTCGCAGATGGGAATGAATATTTCATATATATATATATTTACACACACCAGGTGAAACAGGTTAAAAGCACATATTGTCAGTAATTCAGTAATTTCTTAGCAGGTTTTCTTGATGCCTGTTCCTGCGAGTAGCAAGTACATAAAATTTCTAAAGAATCACCTCATTTCTTGGCATATTTTTCCCCGACTTTATCGTCCGAAAATCAAGAGGGAAAATTATGCGAATCATTTAATTACTGAAGGACGCGCTTACAATAAGAACAGAACAAATGAAAAAATGTCGTGGATAAACCACAAGGTAACTATCAAAGTATTAGTTTTTTTTTAAACTGCATTCCAATAAGAATGCATAGTAATATTATCATTACAAAATCGAATAAAAGATTTTTATTTCTTTTTCTCCGTAACTTGAAACTCAACCGTTCTTATTATTGTCCATGTTACTCCTTAGCCCTCCAATCATGCATAAATAACTAGAGAAAGTGAATATGCAACTGACTCGGCGAAATCAGAAACTAGCGAAACTGGTAGAATCAATGCCAGTTCTTATTTGCTTCGCTGAAATGGGTTGGTTCTTGTAGTAGCCTGGCAAAAGTTTCAACAGGTTCGGCGTGACCTTCATACATAATTTGCAAGGATTTTTCTTTGTTAGTAAAATGAAAAAGCACTACATATTAAAATATAAGGAAACTCCCTCTTTAAACGCACCGAAAAAGAGGAAAATTGCGCAAATACTTTAAAAAATTTTCTGAACCGGGTTCTAAAATGCTAGGGTAAAAATACGCCAAAACATACGGTAAATTTTACTAAAATCTCATCATATTCTACCCAGGGTAATATTTCAGATTTTAATTTAAATTCCCTTTGAAGAATTCAGCTAGAGGTTCATTACTTATCGTACCCAATTTCGGATAATAAACTAACATTTCGTTCTGGTAGCCGCACGTACCACTCAAGATGTCTCCGCCAGCAGCAATGTCCATATTCGTGTCATATTCGAAAAGTAATCACAGGCAACTCTCTCTGCAATGCGGAGTTTTATCTCAGTGGTTTTCGCGGAGAAGGAGGTGATCACATTTGAAATAGGACGTCAAGGAAATTCCAAAAGGGGGGGAATGGATGGGTTGTTGGAATTCATAAAAGGAGCTTCTGTGGCCAGAACCTGATTACTCGCTCCAGTGATCCTGACTCTTAGATAAATGGACCCGCTTTCGATAGCGAGATGGAAGTAGGGTGGACAAGCGTCACCTTCCCCTCTCCTTTTCAAGAGATATCGTGAGAGTAAATTTTGTAAAGCCAAACAGCGTTACTCGGCTTTGCTGAAACAAACTCCAATTCCGTCACCAAATGATGATTCTCCCGTTAAAGTTTTATTTGGTTTGGGCGTTGAGTGAGATATGATTTTGATTTTAAGATAAGATAGTCGACGAGATTCTAACATAAAATTCCTGGAATAATTTACATATTGTCTGTCCATAAAAGTATATATGTGACTTTTATTTTTCAACTACTGGACCTAGAAACATATTTCAAACTATAAAAGTGTTTTAAATTGTGCAAATTTTCTTATTTTTCTATTTTTAAGTTGAACGAGTCAATTTTGTAAAAATCACAAAATTTCATTCTCCCGGTTATTATAGATTAACATTGTTAAATGAAGGCATAAAACATTTGACTTCCATAAGAAAACAAATTTAACGAATTCTCCAGAGATTCAAATTTAACGAAGAGTTTTTCGAAGTAATTAACATAGTGTAACGCGAACAAGAATTTCTTAACATAATAACCATTTCACAAGTAACTTTACAACATTTACTTTAGAAATATAGCATAAAACAGTTATAAAGAACATAGATTACAGCTCGAAGGTGGATTACATATCTAGGCCATACCGGCTCTAAAGTCACTTAACAGTTAGTTCTGTCTCCTGTGTTTGTTTATAGCCAACGGTGGCATATTCCAAGTTCAAGTTTTAGAGGGAAAAGAACAAAATTCCTACAGCCAATCTAACCTCAAAATAAGTGGTAAAAGTTACATACATATATACATGCATAATATACAGTTATATACATAACATTATACACCTATACATATTACATTCATGCCTTATCCGGGACTCGAATCCGGGCGCTCTTCACTACAGCAGTCAGAGTCATTAACCACTTTACCGTCTGGGCGGCTACAAAAGATTGCTTAATACAAAAATAATTGTCGTTTGCAAAGGTATCGTCATTGCCAATATGTGTTGCGTTTTCCTTAGGTACGTTTAATAGCATTCTTGGCAGATGGATGACATGGATGGCAAAGGAATGATTTTTATATGTGACACGGCATCAGAATTAAACTAAGGTTAATTATGAATTCTGAAACGCCGAGCTCAGAAGATTCCCCAAAACTGTATTAAGGTAGCAAAGATCAGCGTGATATTCGTAAATTTGCTAGGTTTAAATAAAGAATCTACTTCTTCAGCTGCAGGAATGCAAATGACGAAAGAAAATTCTTTGCTCAAGCGATAGCAATGAGAGGAAGAAAGTCAACCTACTGCCGCCATCTACTGATGAAAAATGAGAACAATGAGATAATTCTCTTAAAAGCTGAGTTTAAAAATGTTAACTGGAACGTAACAGTTAAACGTTAGCTGGTATCGTTAACTGGAACTGAAAGATTTTTAAGAATATGAAACGCCTCTAGAAAAATCTAACTATCCAACGGAGGATGGTTTGTGAGTATTCAATAACTGCTCAAAACTGAAAAATATGATTTTCCAATTAACAGTGTCGACTAACAGAGGATTTATTTGTTTCTTTTTTCCTAATATATGCCTCATGTTCCTTAGCACAAAATTTGAAGGCTCTCTTAGTTTGACCAATCTAAATTAAAACACATTGTCAAGAAATCTGTAATTACCCTAATATTCATATCCGGAACTGGACCTTGAAGTATGGAACTGCGAATTGCACTGATAGAGGGGAAAATGACCCCATAGTTGAATTATGTACAGTCAATCGATGGGAAAAAAGGAATGACAACAGAATTCTTAAACCGTGTTTGTCTACTGAAAACGATCTGCAGCAAAAAGCGAAAAAGACAAGACAAAACAAAAATTAAAACTGATTGTTTAAAATAAAAACAGTTTGTTGTCAAATTGAAATAAAGGCTACAGCATGAACGACTGTATCATAATGAGTTCATAATTGTAAAAGCAAAATTCTTAGATCTTGTAGTGTGAACATCATTTGCAGACATGCAGTTTTAGCTCAAAGGTAATATAACGAAACGCATATGGTTACTGACCTTTATTTAATGTGAAATGTTCCTCAGTATATTCTACTTTGAGGAATGTTGTCATCTCTACTTCGAACACTTTGTTGGGATCAGGTGGCAGATCTGTAGGAATGGAACGTCGCCGCCGTCTTCCGTAACCAAGCTGGCCGTTGCCACAAGGTACCTGCATAAAACGTAGTTTATTATTAATTTATTCAGTATTAAGGAATGCAAATATCGTATTCAAAACATTATCACTTAAACGCAATAAAATTACAACTAACTAAATAAATAAATGAGACTCTTGATTATTTTAAAACTGTAACTTTCGTTTCAGGAACCCAGTGGTAAATGCAGGTAAATATGATACATTCACTGGCTTCAGGAACCCATTGGTAACCTTTCTTAAGAGTTCATTCACACAATGGTATAGTCGTCATTATTGCTTGGAATGGATAGTGGTTATCGAGAAATATCAAAAGGCGCCGATACTTGCAATGTTACTTTTTTACCTTTTTTACCCAATGTTACTTTTTTTTTTATATCGATGGTTTCAAAAAGATAGAAAAAATATTGAATGGAACCCTAAAAAATGTCGAACGACAAACTCTTCCTAACTGTATAAACTCAATCCCGCCAGTGACAGCTCGTCGCAGATTCTTAATTGTTGGAATTAATTCTTTACTCGACTGCACAAATGCGAGGAATTTTCATATTCTGCCATTCCGGAGCCTTTCCGTAAGCAGAAACAGGTTCGCCCAGAGTAATATCTTCAAGGCTACCTTGATGAGGATTGCTTTCTTCATGACAACGAAATTCATGAGAGTTCCAGTATATATAGGGTTCCAGTCTTCATAGGGTACCCTTGCGTCCTAGCGAGCCACTGCTAATTTTTAAAAGTGCTCGCAACTTTGCTCAAGTTGGTGACTTTTCGCTAAGATCTTCAACTGAATGTTTCGTTAGCCTTTGTGAGGGTTGCGTTTTCATGAGAGCGAACTTTATATATAACTACTGCTGCCCTGATGCCAGGATACCCTTGCGTCTTGGCGAGTAGCTGCCAGACTTAAAAATGTGTCCACATCTTTGTTGGAGTTGGCGACATTTTGCTAAGTTTAGGTCTTCATATGGGTATCCCATCAGCTTTCATAAGGGTTCTTTCTTCGTGATACCGAGCTTCATAAGGATATCGGCACAATTTTGCTTTTATTTCCTTGCGTCTTGGATTTACAATCCCCTGCATTCAGATGAAGGTTCTATAACAAGTCACAGATTTGGTAACGAGGTTTTGAAACTCTTCAAAAGCTACTAGTATGCTAATTCAGGAAACTTTTCGTCCGCATCGAATGTGCCTCGGTGTCAGAATGCTTGAAAACAGAAGATATCATTCTAATGGAACCAAACTGAATAATCTCTCGAAATATACCGTAGGTCGCCGAACTGCAACACGTCAACTGCATCTCAAAGCGTCCAGGATCCCAAACAGGCTTTTCGCTAAGATCTTCAACTGAATGTTTCGTTAGCCTTTGTGAGGGTCACTCAAAAATATGAAAAATGTCACTCAAAATGTTTATTCAAAATAGGTAAAGAAAATTAAAAGTTATTCATATATACAAAGACTAATATATATACTCTAGAAGACTGCCTACTGTGACTTTGATGCCAAATTTTTAAAGATTAGGAAATGTTTATTTTTTATTATCATAATTTTACCTTGGTAGAAAAGTCGTGCGTTGATAGAATTGAGAATTCTAAAGAGGGCAATATATGAAGGAGCGCATTTTCTAGAATAGCTAGGCATTTTATAGAATACCGAAAACTCCCTGGCAATCACACATTTTATAGAAAACCAAATTACATACATTTCACGAAAGCACGAAATACATTTCCCATTCGCTTAGAATATCTGTATATTTGATACTTAATACATAATCCGTACATTAAATGTATTTATTTCATACATTTCCATGCATGGTTTTCATTAATAAGAATTTTGTTTTGTGAAACTTTTAATTTTCTTTACCTATTTTGAATAAACATTTTGAGTGACATTTTTCATATTTATTTTCAAAACAATATTTGTATTTTTGAGGAATACACGTCTTTTAAATTCATGCCTTATTATGACCTTTTTGCATGATTTGCTTAAATAGCAATGCGGTACTATAGAATGCCTAAGTATTATATACAATGCCTAAAGAAAGTCTGTAGTAATTCTCATATCCATACGTTGTCTAAAAACGTCAGGCATTCTGTAAAACGCCAAGTATTCTATATAATGCCGGAGTTTTATACATTGCCGATAACACATACATTAAAAAAAGGACTTTTACTTTAATATAATTACTAATATATATATATATATAAAGAAATTATGTGTTTTCCAATTAGAAGAAATGCTAATCCTTACGAAAATATATTTTTGAATTTTGTATATATGAATAAAATTTTGCGAACCTTTTTCGAAATTAATATTGTTCTTGCCCTTTTCTGCGGAGGTAATTTGTCTGCTTCTCATGTGAAGGTCGACATTTGCATTTCTTTTATATGCATTAAGATTTCCTTAAGGGTTCGTAGAACAATGCATTAGTTACTTTTTCATGAATACTGTTTGACTTCAGCAAATTAATTTTTATATGCATCGAAATGCTGTTTAATAGATTTAACTGACGTGGAGGAATTTTTATATGCATTGAAATGCTGTTTAATAGATTTAACTGACGTGGAGGAATTTTTGTAATGAATGATGAATTTTTTTTTAATAAAAAACAGAAGTCACTATTTTTTTGTTGATATAATTTTTTTAACATAGTGATATTTTAGATTTGCTTAATAGAAAATAATCTTAAAAATTAAAAATTTAAACTTTATATTTCGTAAATTAGCATAAAACGAGTAATTTACACTTTTATTTAACGAAAAAGTTAGAATTTTATGGGAAGAGCTTAGCTGGCAACTGGCGACCTTTTGTCTGTCATTTTGAAACACAAAGTTCCATTCCACAAAAATTTCCCAAAATTCGTCCGGTATGTTCTGAAAGAACATTTTATTTATTTAGTGAAACCTCTTCAATTTTCGTAATTTTTTCAGGAAAATATTGTAATGAAAATTTTAATTAACATGATTCAGCAATGAGTGTAAACACATAAACATTATTTCCCAGCCAGAGATTACCAAATTTACTATTTCTGCATAAATACTCTTATTATATAATCCAAATTCCAACACATCTAAAAGCAAAATATTGTTAAAACCAAAATTCAAAACTCAAACAATTCATTGAATACGGCGATGGATGGAATCCGAGAGTTATCACATTCGTAGTCGAGCTGCCATTACACTCTCACTTCACTCAGACTCTCGCTCGTTATTTAAATTGAATATATGTTTCTGGTGGAGTTCACGAAAGTAAAAATGCTGGAGAGATTTAACATAACAAAACGGCAGGTTAAGTGAAAATAAAACTCATGAATATATATGCTTTTAAACAACGAGAAAATGAAAAATAGTTAATATAAGAAAATGTTTTGATTCTTTCTAAGATCACCAATTCGCTTTTACTTTGCTTCATCATTTTGGTTATGCAAGATTTCGGTTCAGTTCTGTTTGATATGCGGTATGGATGTAAAAATGGGAAATGTGATTTTCTGACCAACAGTGTTAGGCAACAATGGATTTATGTGTTTCCTTTTTTTCTAACGCCTGAGCACAGGTTTCTCTTTCGTCATTTGCATTCTGCAGCTAAAGAAGGTTTTGTTTAAACTTTCGAAACTAGTCCTGGAAATTTATAAATATTATGCTGATTCTTATTGCCTTAATACCTAATACAAACTTATTTTCCAATACATTCAAAAAGAAGTTTATATCAAATAGCAGTTTGAAGTCCAAAGTGTCTTCTAGGAAAACGTTTCTTTACTGAACGAACAAATTAGAAACAAATGTAAAGTTCGATCGTGACATGAAACCCTTATTTTTTATCACCCTATATCAAAATAAATGTATAATTCGGATTATAGTCTTTAAATCTCTATAGAACTACGGTCATTAAAAAACTTTAATAATTAATTATTCTATTTCACTGAAAGCCTATTAAATCAGAATTTCTAGATTAATGGTGATTGCTTTGAATGCATTTGCCTCCAAAATCTAAAAATTAATTTACTTATCAAGAGAAGGAACTTTAAGAAGCTGAAATACGAACTCACCCCCCTGCACTCTTGTAAACAGACGCTGACGGTACCAACAAAGAGAACATAATTGGCGTCTGGAAATTTGAACGCTCTAAATTTTGCCGAGAGAGCGTCTCCATTCTCGAGAGACTGAAAATTTCCGAAAATGTATGGATCAATGGAACACCTGCAACGAGGGAAAAAATATGTGAGTTCATATTACAAACACATTACAAAATAATGCAATAACGGTAACATATTTGGTTTAAATTAGATGCATAAATAATAATAAGATAAATGAGGCGGCACATAATACTTTAGATGCAGTTTTCATGTGAATTATTTTTAAAAAGCAGATAGTTCTAATTCTCTCGCTCCCTGTGATTTGACACTGAAACAACATATTCAGAATTCTATAAAATGTAAGCTGGTGGATTTCTTGTGCAACGACATGCGTAAATAAGTAACGTAGGACGCGATTTCTTTGGTGTTTGGCGTAAATCTCAGGATAAAATACATGCTGTCATCAACATCAGCCTTTTTGTTGATGTCATACCACTTGCTGAGTGATATAACCTTGATTTTTCGTGTAGTTTGTGCAATAAAATTTCCACATAGTTTGTGCACCGTTTTCTAATTTTGTCCTCAACATTTCTGGCTTCGTATATTTTGTGCATTTTGTCGACATGGCAATTAAAAATTCGTACATCTTGTTCGATATGAGGAGCGAGATGCCTTTAGCGAGATGTCTGACAGCACTACGAAAACATGAGAAATATGGAAAACGGGAAGACAATCCACGTGTGTGTCAGAAAACAAATGTTTTTTCCATCTGAAATTCGCCGACAAAGAAGAGCGCATATGCTAATACGTGGAAAATCTTTGCGATGCAGCGCGGAAGCTGAACTCCATCGCTCAAAATGGCAGTGCATATTTGCAGTGCTGGCTCTGCTTCAACGATAAGAACTATTTTCTACAGTGTTTTCAAAAATAAATCAAGACGTATAGCCGTATTAGTGATATTAGTGTAAAATCACCTTTTTACCTATAATTTTGTTGTTTGTATCATTGTGTTAACTATGTGTCAAGGAAGTAAGCTTTTTAATGACTGGTGATCTTAATTACGGTTGTGATTAGCCAAAAGGTTAGTAACCACAATAATTTCAATAATAATTTTTTAAAAATATCAATGAAAACTTTGTTGTTTATGTTAATTATTACTATTGTTTTAACCACGTGATAGGGATATAAGCTTTGTTGCCGATTATATTGGGAGCTAAAAGGTTAATTTCCCCTTTTTATGATCATTTTAAAACGTCAATACAAATTTCGTTGTTTACGAGAATTATTATCATTGTGTTAATCGTGTAACAAGCAAATAAATGTTTTACTGACATTCTTTCTTTCCACCGACAGCGAGGCAGCGGATCCACTGAGGCAGTTAGCATATCAAACAGGTAGCCTCGCTGAGGGAATTAACTTGGTCTACATAACACACTTTGGTACATATTGTACTCAAGACGACTGCTGAGGGTGGAAACAAACGTTGGGCGAGTCAGTGGTGCAGTGATGGAAGAAGGGTGCATTGCGGGGAAGGAGAACAGTTTCATTTTCACATTTACATAGTTATGGATAGATGGTTACAACGTAAGTGCTGTCAATACGCATCCACAACGTGAACAATAAATGAGTACTGTAGATAGTTATAATACAGGTATAAGTGAGTTATAATCAGCTGAAGGGTACATTAATTATGAATATGAGCAATTGACAGATTGATTGATAAAAACGTAAAAATAATACATTAAATAGGACAAAATATATAATTCAAGAAAATATGTATAAACAGAAAAGAACAGAAAAGCTAACTTAAATAACAGAAATTAACTACAAATACAGAATATATGAGAATTATGCTGGTGACGAGGATGGCAGTTGAAAATTACTCCAGCTTTTCTGAAATATTACGTGCAATATTAACGGAATCGCATATGTGTTTCAAAGCATAGCGATTTTCCGAAGTAAATTCGGCCCATGCATGAATATGGTCCGCTACTGGCTGTCTAAGATGATGTTCTGCAGTCTCTCTGCAAAGAACACATTGTGGTTTTGATTGCCTGCCATCCCGCATGAGTTCTGGTCGTTTTCGCGTCGTCTGAAGTAATGCGGGTAAGTCATGAACGGAACATGCCCTGTTAGAAACTGGGTAAAGTGAGGCAAGTCACTATTTAGAAGCCGACAAACTTTTGGGAAAAATTTGTAGACTCTTCTGGCAGTAGTCTCTGTCTCCCACAGATGTTGCCAACGCTTCAATAATTCTCTCTCGAGCTCGGCTTTTAAGAACAAGCCCGGAAGAGGCACATCAAGTAGGCGAACGTGGGGGTCAGTTGCTGCTCTTTTGGCTGTTGCATCTGCAGTTTCATTACCCAGTATTCCGGTATGAGTATGTACTCACTGGAGTTTGGGCATATAGTATTTTGGTCACCTTTTTACCTATAATTTTGTTGTTTGTATCATTGTGTTAACCATGTGTCAAGGAAGTAAGCTTTTTAATGACTGGTGATCTTAATTACGGTTGTGATTAGCCAAAAGTATAGTAACCACAATAATTTAAATAATAATTTTTTAAAAATATCAATGAAAACTTTGTTGTTTACAGAGTCATAATAGGAAGATCTTTTTGATGTTTAAACAGTAACAAAGTGGAGCTATTTTTGGTTCTGAGTACAGTAAATTCTGAATAACGGAATAATAAAAATATTATAACCCATATATGTGTTATTTATCATTATTATTATATTTCTTAACCTGTATATAACTGAATTTATAAGGTCTATATTTGCATTCAATTAAACAGTATACCCATTCATAATGATGACTTCTTCCTGATCAGGTGTACTGTCGGTGACTTTCAAGTAACTTGCCAATAAGCCATACGTATCTGAAAGAGAAGAAACATAATTTTCATAATATTCTATAAAAACATTTATTGTTATCATCTGCAATTTTTTAGTGTCATATAGCAAATTTTAATTGTTACTTTCTAGCAATTTTCTCTGAAAGTGATTAATATTTCTGAAATCATAACCGAATAATGATAAGATATAATAACAAATAGAATAACTTAAGTAATTATAGAGGGTGTTTACACAGTTTTTAGAACGATTTGGATTAATAATTTAGAAAAAGCAAATGTTTCAAATTAAAATCTCTGGGAAAACCTTATCATAGGAAATGAGAAGTATAAAAAAATAACGTTTTTAATAACTTACATAATTAATCTCATTTTTATTTAAATCAATCCGACTCAAAAGTAATATAACTATATTTTTAAGAAATGCATCTGTTGCTTTAGTTTAGTTAGTTAATTGGCAACAAATAGATTAAAAGTGAAAGAATAATAACTTACGTTTTTCTGAGTGGCAATGAAATCGAATGAAAAGTTAAACAACGTAAAATCGTGTTTCGAGAAAAATAGCAGTTTCGGGTCATAATACAAAAAAAAAAAACAATTAAATATAAATCTAATAAGCCATTTGTTTTATAAACATTTGTTCATACTCATAATTTGATTGATGTCCTCAAGTCATTTATGTCCAAGATTTGTTTTATGATTATATTTTATATCATATTAAAAGGTGTAACGGCGGTCGATGAAAAAAACAATCTCTTTAAAAGGAGTTGGTGCAAGAAAAAGTTGATAAAAACTTGAGACAAAAAAGAAATCAAAATTCTTAATAATTAAATAAATATTACCAAAGAGTAAATATATGTTACGCTTGCTTATCTTATTTAAAAATATGCTATTAAACATTTTAGCTCATAACATAATACATGACCTTTTTATAATAATGAGCAGAGCTTTTAGAAATTGTTACAAAAATTGAAATTCTTTTGCCTTTCATTTCTGTTGTGCATACTAAATATAATTTTGGATATTTAGCAATTCAAAGCTTACTTTGTAAACATATATTTTTTTATTATTTATTTTCCTAAAATTTATACAGAACATTAATCTTCTAAACAAATGTAATGGGATTTTAGGCAAATAAATTTAAACTTGCCAAGTTAAATAAATATTAGAATAATATAGACTGCGTTTACACATTTTTAGGAAAATTTCGATGAAGAACTTAAAACAAAAACAGATGTTTGGGATTAAAATTTCTGGATCAGCTTATTCATTGAAATGAGAATTATCGTCTGCCCCTTTTAAATTTATTCTTCTTCAAACGTCGCATGTAAATAAACTGTGGATTCAAGGATATGTTTCTGCGCTTTCTGAACAAAAATATTCCTATTCCATAACTTAAAAAGGTAACGAAATGCATGGCATTAAAATATCTAAATGCAAAATGAGTAAAATTGTTAATAGGAAAGTGGAAAACTGTCTTCCATTATTTTTATATGGAAAGAAGGTTCCAAATGTGTACCCAGAAAATGTACGTACTGTTTCTAAAGTTAAAACGCTGGTAATTAGAGAAAATGCGCCAACGCGGAAATCAATTCCAAAGTGTTTAAATACATCTGTAGCAATAATAACACATGATTTGTAACTCAAAAAGCTAAAAACATAATGTTTACCAGATTTTACCAAGGCGTGTGACTGAATGCAGAACAATTTGTAAACAACAAATAAAACAATAAATCATGATTTGCAATTCAAAAAGCTAAAAAACATGATGTTCACCAGATTTTGCAAAGGCATGTGACTTTACGCAGAACAATTTGTAAATATCTGTATGAAAATTACTTAGCAAGGGATAAATGGAAGTACATTGTGACTCTGGATGAAGTATGGGTTTACCTAAATGACAGCAACGGAAAAGGTGTATTGATTATCGTAAACGAAGAGAAAAAAAATGACCGGATTCTGTCAATGGAAGACGTTTTGAAGGGATTTATAATTTTTTCAAGATTGCCTTAAAATGGTAAATTAATAATAAGAAGAGTCTGAATAAATGTTAAAATCAACTTAACGTATTATCAAAAGAAATATTTTCATCCGATATTTAATGCAGAAATTCCACTTCTTTATCCTAATGGCTTTCAAAGATAAGCTTCATCAAAAACCAAAAACCAACAAGTCATACTTCGAAAATCACAAGTGTACTTTGAAAAAAGAAGACTGATAGAGGTATTGCTTATATACTCTTTTCAAAGTATTTCTGCAAAGTCCCTTAACATTTCACTTACCGACTGTTGTGCCTTTAAAGAAAAGAGCCTTTGAAAAGATCTCTTTCTATGTGCAAACCCACGACTTATTGGACTCTGCAAAGTAGTGAAAGAGGAATGGAAATGCATAATCCTGGGAATTTTCCAAAAAGCCGTTCTCTGACGGAAATTATGACTTATGGCCCAGAAAAAAAGCTATCAGATCGAACATTTAAAAATCTAATATTATATGAATATTAATTACTCAAATATTAGTTATATAAAATTAATGATAATTAAACGGTTTCGAACTCGTTCTAGAAATGTGAAAACACCCCCTGAAATACTATCATCTATATTCATTGCTTGAACTGATCTAGCATTCAAATATCACTTAAACAGCGCTAAATATGCGTAAGGTGAAAAACTAAAAGATCGAAATTCCCACTGATACAATATTGCCAGGAAAGGTAACGAATTTAGCATCGCTTAATTGATTTGAGTCCGAAGCTCTCAAAACCTGTTTTTTCCGGAAGTTTAATTATTTTGTTACGTCGTTCTAATTTCATTAATGAATTGGACGAGATGTCTTTTTAGCTAAGCGAAGGTTTACTTTCGAGCTTCGAAAGTATATCTTAAATAGCATTTGCAAAAGATATTTGGAATAAAAAGGTATTTTCCTTGACTTAAATCAAGCAGTTAAGTAAATGCTAATTGCCTAGGAATACATTCATTTAGCTTACGCAAAAACTTAATATACTATTTTTAAGTAACCCTATTTTCATATTGCAGCGATAAATCAATTCATCGTTCTTTAATTGGCTTCGTTATTACATATTGTTGCATAGTTTTTCAATTTCTGTAAGAAGTTTTTATTTATTTAATAACTTTTTTTGTTTCTGTTTACTGTTGTTACTGTGCCTTGTTTTATGAATTTACTTATTTATTTATTTTACTAACCGCCTAAAATAGTCTTATAAAGTACATATATAATGCCTTTAATTAGTCCAGATAGTATAATTCCACAAAAATATTTCATGCTTTAATTAGATAATATATTATTTAAATAGATTAATTTTACGTCTTAACTTTTATTTAAATTAATCAGATTTAAATTTTACAATATTTAAAAATATTAAGTAAAGCGTATGTGTTCGCCTCAATTGCTGTGTAAAGCTCAAGGGGCATCTCACATGGAAGTCTTGAAGCATTATCAAGAGGAGCATCGCAGGGACGAGGGAGACGAATAGGAAAGAAAAGATCTCAGGTTTCGAAAGATCAAACACATCAGCTATAGATAAGGCTACTTGAGCTGGAACATAAATAATAGAAGTAACGTTAAATCACGTTTGCACAGTCTCTGAACACCTGCAACATCCAGGAAGCTTAACGAAGTTTCTGTACAATACGTTTCAAATAATAAAAGCAAGAGAAATTAAAATAGATGAATTGCAATACAAAAAAAAATGCAAATAGAAATTGAATGTTCTGAATAAAAATAATCGAGGGAATACAAATAACCAATAAACTAGCCCTCGGTTCGAAAAACTATAGAAGAAAATGAAAAAAAGTATTTTTAAAAATTTAAGAATCTAGCGCTAGGAAGCTGGGGGGGGAATACCCCAGGTAATAAAGATACTAAGCTTATACAGTTCTTATTGTTTTACTTAGTAAATTAGAAACAAAGCAGAAAAGTTACTCTAAGATTTATTAATAAAATATTATTAGCACCTTTAATAATATATTAATAAATTTACAAAATGTGCTAATGTTAATAGCATTTTTCCAATTCTTTAAAAGTGATTTATCAATGAAATTAATAGGATTAAGGATTTATTAAAATTCAATTTGCGCAATTCGTTACTCAGAAGGCAAACTCATTTATGCAACATAAATTTGCTGAAACTGATTTTAGACGCATTTCCATTGTCACATAATTTATAGATGCGCGCGTCGATATTTTACGTTTTCTTATCAAACAAATGTCAATTACACAGACCTAATAAAGAATCACGGTGCATCATAAATTCGAGCCTAGAAAATCTGGAAACACAGTATACTTTTGGAAGAAGGGAGAACGTTCTTCTCTAATTAAGGTAAGTGAGAGCATATTAAACGCGAGATAGAGCATTAGTCATAAAATCTTGCATTAAATATCATATTCACTCCGGCAGAGATAAAATTGGAATGAAGAAACAAGATAAAAAATTGAGCAAAAAGATCGTAAAGTTCATCAGAGCAAGTCATAAAAGTATTATGTTATTATTTATTCTGACCTGAAGCTCAAGTTTATAGTGCATTACCTTCTAAACCAAAAAGAACGGAATTCTTTGGTGTAATGTCTGTCTGTTTTAGGGCACAGACGATAAACATTGCGCATGGAGTAAAAGAGTTAAAAATAAATTTTATTATCTAGAATTACAATGTAAACTTTATCTCTAATTAACTATACTATGATGATGAATAGACTGTATTTATAATTAATTAGATGAAGATTAGTGTTGCGCTATCTACCGTTTCATGAAAGTAATTTTTCAGCCTTTGTTTTCGCAATCGTTGGTCGTAGATATATACTTCTAGTTACAGAAATAATTTAAATTACGGAAAAATTTATGTTTTGGCATTTTTTAGCTAAACGACCTCAAAAAGTCCGATTTGGGTTAGGAAACCCAAATGTTTTAACGAATACTTTTGAAGTCCATACATTTAATGAAGATGCTGAAAATAATTAAGAACCGGAATATTTAAAATTAAATTAATTTTTGACGGAAGACGAGTTTTCTTTTC